GAAGGAAGAATGGGATCTAATTCCCAATTCTACCTTAAAAAATTTAGTTAGTTCGATGAAAAAGAGATGCAAGGAGGTAATAAAAAAAAATGGCGACCATATTAACTATTGAAATTTTAATAAAATAAACTTTGGATTCTTACCTTTCAAACAAGTTATTGTTTATTGTATTTGGTTCAGCGGTTATCGAGTAATTAATAAATAAAATTTACAAAAAATTATGAGACATACTGTATATAACATATCCAGATTATATCAAACATCTTTACAAAGTTGAGTTTATAAATTAATGTTAACCTATCTACGATGCTAACTATCCCTATCCTAGTTACACTTGGTGTATTTCAGATTAGTTTTAGTGCTGGATAGTTAATGCCCTTCCAGAGCTGAGATAAAGACTTGTGATTTGATAGCACTACTGCTGTAATTTGTCTGTGGATCCGTAACTTCTATTATTAATGTTAGTAAATTTTTGTCATTTGAGATAGCTTTTGATGGGTAGGTGTTACTGGAGCTTTCGATCGGAGGGGAGTACCTTTTCTATTTGACTTCCTTTACTTCAGATATGTTAGTGGTTGCTGACCTTGGAATCCATATCTGTGAGTATAATAGGGCTAGTATTTTGTTTGCCATCTTGGCATGGCTGGTAATGGGTAGTTGTATGTCTATGCTTAACATTCCGCTTGCGAGTTTATCCAGGTTAGACTTTTGGCCAAAGTCTAATTTTTGCAAATTTCTTTCGATTTCTGTTAGGTTTTTCTTATTACTGCTTTTTCTTACGAGCTTTGTCAAACTTTTCCTTATCTTGTTTTTCATTTTGTTATATGCTGCGATGTTTTTGTAGCAATCGAAAATGTGGCTCTGAGTCTCTACTGTTGTAAGGCACCTGGGGCAAAGGTTATCAGTATAGATGCTTGGGTATCAATTGTGTAACAGTTGTCTAGATGGCAACATTCTGCTCAGCAGTTTGAGTCTGAAGGCTAGTAGAGAAAAGGTGTTCATTTTATCTCTCTTGGTTAATAGCTTATTTGCCTTGGCTAGAATTTAAAGTGCTGATATTTTCATGTTGACTTTTCACCTATTTTTGATTGATAAGCTCTGAGTGATATTGACAAGTCTGTGTGTCCACTGGATTATTTTGGTTCAAACAACTGGGCTGTAGCTCCAATTGTTTTTGATTTTTGGACTTAAGATGTAGTTAACTGGCTCCACTAGATTATCGATCCCTATAATAATGTCACTGTCTTGATGGCCTGAGATGATCGGGCTTGACTTTAATCTCAGTTTAATGTTTTTGCATTCACATGTGCTATTGATTCTTTCCTTTAGGAAACTATATGAAAATTTGACTCTTTGGTTTAAGTAACTTGGAATGTATAAATTTAGCTTCTTTGAAAGATTAACTGCTATATATGTCTGGTTATTTGCTGCCTCCACTAAACCAATTATTCTTAAGAGAATATTGATTGGCTGTGGATTTGTTAAGTGTAGAGCTATATTGGTGTCGTGTCCATGTATGGTTATTAATTCTTCTTTGCTTTCGACATTAAAGTGTAAGAATAGTCTATTAAAGTTGATGACCTGTTTGAGATCCTCTATGGTATTACTGTTGAGTTGCACTGATAAGTTTCTACACTTATGGTAGCTGATTTCTACTCTTGGATTATTATTCGGAGTAGTATTGTATTGAAGTTGGAGCCAAATTTCCTCTAGTGTATTGGCTAAGCGATGCTTATTATTTGTCTTGTATGTCCAGAAAGATATTGCTTTGATTGTTGGGATGGCGATTTGGAGGCTGTTGGCGTGGCATTGGCATTTTTTGAGAGTTTTGTTTGTTGTTAGTTTATAATAGGTTTCTTTTATCTAAGAGTGGGTACAGTTATAATTGATCCTTGTTTTGATAAAGTTCAACTCACTGTTTATAATAAAGGTCCAGAATCTGGCTCTCGTATTTGGGATGCAGGTCGAGGTTCTTTTAAGAGTAGGTGGGGATTGATTTTGATGAACCAGGTAGGTATAGAACCTTTGGGTGTGAAGCAAAAATGTGTGTTGAGCTCATACCACATTAGCTTTCTATTTGATTGAAAAATAAATAGATCTTCTAAGAACTTCATATTTCCTCTGTTCAGTCCTAGTGCCTGGCATTTTAGATATTTACTGTTAAAAGAAAAGTGAAGGCCAAGTGATTGTTCTCCTTTGGGATGGTTATATTGACATGAAGTGGGTCAAATGTCAATTCTGTATATTTTTGAGACTGCCGCTGCTTGTATAATCCATGTTTCTGAAAATTTTTTCAGGTAACAAATCAGGCAGAGCCAGATGGCAAGACTGGCTTGAAGAGAATTTATCTCATGTGACATAACTTCTTGGGTTTTTGTATTAGTGAGTTTGGCAATAAGAAGTTTTATTAGAGTCAGGCTTTGGTTGTCTGCTAGGTTTACCAGGTTGAGTCTGGCTTGCGAGTAAGTGATTTTGTCTGATATTGTTTTTCCTATTTTGAACTTTTCTTTGATTGTATTATTAACTCTAGTCTGGAGCTTTTGTAATTGCAGCCTAGAGAGAGAGCTTGTTAAAAGAAAGTAATTGAGTTTGCTGAAAATGATCCAGTCCAGCACTTGTTTTATTATTGGTCTGTTCCATTTTTGTTTGTGACAGGCTTCTACGATCTGATTTAGGTTCTTGATGTAAGTCTGGTTTGGTATACCTCTTGCTGGGTCTCCTGCAAAGAAATTCTCTAGATATCAAAGAGGGGTTTTGATGCTAAGTGGTCTTACTACTGTATTCGTGACTCGTAAGCCTGTATTCTTTGCACTATTGTTGTTTGCTAGGGTAGTGATGAGCATTGTTTTGTTTGAGTTGCACTTTATGTTGTTAAGAGTGAGAAAGGAGCAAAAGATATTCGTAGAGTCTTGAAAACTGTTTAGAGAATTTGCTGTGAGAAGCATGTCATCCATATAAGTGAGGATGCTATATGGGATTAGCGGTTGCTTGGCACAGTTATAAATTGTTGTCACCATTGGGTCATAGAATATTGTCCACAAGAGTAGTGAAAGTGTCTCTCCTTGATCTAGGCCTTTTGACACCTCTATGTTGTTTGTACTGCCAAAGTTTGTTGCTACTGTGAGTTCTCATTTGTATAGCAGGTTGTGGAAAATGTTGATAAGCTTGCTTGGAATTTTAATTCTTTTTAGAGCAGCTTTAAAACTGCTAAGATTAACTGAATCGAATGCCTTTGCAATGTCAAAGGAGGCCAACCAGAGTTCACTATTCAGATTTTTTGCTGTGTTCAAGCTTGAGGTCGCAATGGTTAGTGGTTCCATTGTGCTTTGATTAGGTAATCCTGCAAAGCTAACTTTTGATAGGATGTCATTCTCATATATTATTTTCAACAGTCTGGTATTAATTATTTTTGTGAAAACTTTTCTCGTTGACTCGATCAAGGATATCGGGTGAGTGTCTGAAACTCTTTATGACCATATAATTTTTTTGGATAGTAGAATGATCGTTGACTTTTTCCAGTTCTGCAGGATGGTTTCATCATTAATGACCTTGTTGTACAACTGTAGGAATATTTGTTTTGAGGCACATCCAAGGGAGTTAATAATCTCGTACGTGACACCTGAGCATCCTGGGGTCTTATCTAGAGGTAGTTCTTGTAGTGTGTCTTCCATTTTGATAAGGCTTATTGGGCTCAGGGTGTTGTTATATATACCTTCTTCGATTGTATTGATAGGATCGTACTTGTCAGACCAGAATGGATCAGACAGGTTGAAGTTATTATTCATCAGGACTTTTTTAAAGTGGTTAATTATAATGCTTTTTATTTTCTCTAGGTCATCTGTGAGTATGCCTTGTTCATCTTGTATAAAATTAAGATCTAGTGAGGGCTTGAGATTGCCTAGTGCTTTTTTAATGAAACTCTTTGGTCTTTTCCAAAATTTGATAAAGTTATTCGTAATGTTTTTCTGGACTTGTTCGATATAAAGCTCTTTGATATCGTTGAGTCTTTCTTTGATGAGTATGTTTTTAATCTGGTTTAGTAATTTGATAGAGATTGGCATGGGTCCAAAGATTTTTTCGTGAATTTGTGCAATGTATCCTCGTACTCTTACCAAGATAAATTTCTTTTTTTTAGAAATAATTTTTTTGATTTGTTTGATTGTTCTATAATGTTGACCTCCATTGTGTTAGGGGCCTTGTTCATGACTGGTTTTACTAACGGTAGGTTATTCTTGGCTGTATTTATAATGGCATGGTTAAATGATGGCCAGGAATGGCTGTTCATCATAGAAATCCTGAGGTTTGTTTTCTTTTGGAAGTTGCTTCTTTGTTCTGATGTCACTTGTTTCCAATTGAATAACTTGGTCTGACAACCTGGGGCTCTGAGCTTATGTTCAAACCAATCAAAAATTATTTGCACTTGCTTGTGATCTGTAACAATCAATAGAGACTCTGAGGTCTTTGCACTGAGGACTTTGGATCCAAGATGGTTTGTACACCAAATTTGATCAATTCTTGATGCACTTGTTTGTGTTATGTGGGTGAATTCGCTTTCTCTATTTAGGACTTTCATAATGTCCACCCAATTGAACAAATAGTTGTAAATCATTTTTTTGATGTTTGTTGTTGGTGCGTTGATGAATGGGGTGCCTGTAGAATAGGAATTGAAGTCATCTGCCAATATCTGGTGAGTTGATCCTTTGAATTTTCTTAAGTGCTTTACAAGTGACTTGGTCGCTGTTTTTCTTTTGCTTGTCTTGTGAGGCAAATAGATAGCTGTGATAATTAGATCAACTTTTGATTTAAATTTCAAGTGGGCTGAGCACCAATACTCATTTTCCGCATATGTTACAAAAATGTGGTTGATTAGGTCACCACCTATAATTAGGCATAAGCCATTTTTCGATGACGTTGATGGTGTGCTTGCAATAATGGTCTTGTTATTAAGTTTCTTTGGGAGGGGTTGACTATAGAGACTTTGGTTTTGGAACAGTACATTATTGATCTTTTATTTGTAAGGTTGTGTGTGAGGGTTGTTAACTTTGATCTTTCATTGAGACCTCTTACATTTAATGTTGTAATGTTGAGAAGATTTTTGATTGTGGTAGTGGTGTTAATATCAGGAATGGCATTTTGTATAAAACTGTTTAGCAAGTGTATGAAGTTGGATGAACCTCACATTTTAACAAATAAATGGGATAAGGTCAAAACCGGGCTCCGATAGGTCCTCCGTAAGTATATATTAGTCTGGTAGTCTATCAAAGTTGTAACTTTTGTGGAATTGAGCAATATAAATTGATAGGTCATCATTGTCCCTGAGAGGAAATTGGATATCTACATGATTTTCTTGGTTGAGTTTGTTTAATTCTTTAATTGAGGGGAGGGGTGCTTTGGGGGCTTTAAACCAGTCTTCAGGCAATATAAGAAATTCATATCTCTGATCAAGTTTTCTAATTTTCTCTTGATACTGCTCATCCCTATAATCTAAGAAGGCACCAATTCCCAAAGAGGCATCATCTTCACTAATTTTGCTTGGCAGTTTTTCTTTATTGGTTTGTAAGATTGCTGGGTCGATTCAAGCTGGACCAAGAGGAAGACTAAATTTGAAGTTACTTCTTAGTCAGGCAATTAGGGCTATTGCATTTTTCTTGGTGTTTGCTAGGATTGGAATGTCAATTTCATCTAAGAATGGATTTGGAATTCTGGGAAAGGGTCTTTTGTACTTGTAATAGTCTATTGGCAGGGTAATAAATTTGTACTCCTTTCTTAGTATGCCAATAAGTTCATATGTATCCATTGTCATTGGATCATGTGGAAAATATATTGCTAGGTGAGGTATAAGAAGTTCATACGAGACTGGCAGAGGTTCTTTTGATGGAGGCAGATTGAAATATGATTTGGATAACTTTTGTGAAACTCTGTAGTGCTTTCTCAATTCCTTAGCTTTTTCAGCAAGCGTTTTGAGATTTTTTCTTTTAACGATGAGAAACAGTGGTCTGGTCTCTTTATTGAGTTCCTCTGGATTCTTTGGAAGTGGAGAAGGAATATAAAAAAATGAATCTGGTATGTGCTCAAATTTGTAGTAGGTGTGCAGAACTGAGAGGACTTTAGGCAGGTGTGTTTTTCCTCTCATTGGTAGTTGACATGGTAGTCTGATTATAATATTTGATGAAATTTGATCAAGGGTTTGGGGCAGTGAAGGTAGAGGTTCGTATAGTGTTTGTTTGCAGATATCTAAAACTTCAATATAATCCAGTGTTTTGTTATTATTTTTGATAAGATAATTGCAACTATACTCAAGGAGCTGTGCTATTTTATAATATTTGAGTTTTGTTAGGTCCGTAAATCTGAGGCAGGCAATGAAAAAAGTTGAGTTTAGAAGCCAGCGGATTTTTCTTTTTGTGCTTCTGTTAATATATCTTAAATTATTTTGTTTCTTGTAATTGGTATATGCTTTCTCTTTGAGGGCTTCATATTCTATTTGGTGGTTGCCTTTGAGATACTCGTTTTTCATAAATGATCTGAAAAAAAATCTGTCTCTGAGTAGGATTTTGATAAAGATTGCAAACTGTGACTCTTGGAGGATTGAGCTTTTGGGCTTGTTAGTGATCTCTTTGAGAGTACTTATGACCTCTTGGACATTTGCGCAACACTGACTTAATTGTGCAGCCAGATCAATGATTATATCATACTCATTGACGAAAGGTTCATTTGTATTGATGCGCTGTTTGGTTGGAATTTCATCTATTGTTTGCTAAGCATTGGGATCACTTTCCATAAGCAGATTGATTACTCTTTGCTCTCTTGGGTTTAGTGGTTGCAGGATGGATAAGGTTGTTACACTGCTTAAGGTGATTAATAATTCAGGTGATACTAGCAGGTCGCCTACCAGACTTGTTTCCTTACTTGGTGGAATTGCAGTATTGTTAGTTTGTATTGTTAAATTTTGGCCTGTGGTTTCTGACCTGATAGGGTGATCCAAGGATGCGTTTTGAAGCTCTTTCAAGTCTATTTGCACTTGTCTATTGAATTCAGCTAACAACTCAGTATTTCCTATTGAAATGTCCTGCCCTATGGGATTCATGGAGATGTCGATTGCAGATACTGGACTTGTTGATCTGATTGTGCTGTTAGGTTTGTCCTGATTGACATCAGGGGTAACTGCATGTTGATAATCATCAACTTGTATCATGTCACCTGCTTCTTGTTGATCGTATGATATGTTGTAGTTATTAGGAGTGCTCGTGTACATGACCTGTGCAGTTGATACTACTGATTTGCTTTGTTGATCATTTGTAGGGGGTAAACTGTTTGTGGTTTTTTGGGCTTGAGAATTTTCAGATATAGGAGAGAAACTATTTGTAGTGCTATCTAGTGGCGATAGTCAGTTTTTCTCCTGTACTGAAGTGTTTAGTGGAGGATGAGTGAATAAATTTGATATCTTTTCTAGTTGAAATGTGCTATTCTCTTTATTTATAATATTGACTTGATTCCATGATAAGTGCTAGTTGTAATTGAGATTGCTGCTGATGACTTTTTGAGCTATTTGTTTTCTGTCGACCTGGCTAAGTTTGTTGCTGTCCTGATATTTGAAAAACTCTTCTAAATAGGAGCTGAACTTTTTCCTTGGTTTGCTAGCTGTTACTATAGTGAATACTTAATGGGTTGCTCTGGTGGTTTTGGAGGTGTTGAATTCAACATATATTGTTGAAATATCATCTTGGACTTGTGAGAAGTTTCCTGGACTGGAATAATTCAGTATTTGGAGAAATTAATAAGCGGTGGAATGGATATGTTTTTTCTCGAAAGGGAAACTAGAATAGTATGTGTGTTTATTTCCATGTATATTACCGCAAACAAGAATTTGCTTGGGTTGATAAGGACAATGTCCAAGAGAGCATGTGCTGGGTCTGGAGGTTTTACCTTGGGGGAGGAGCCTCTAAGGATGCTTGGTTTGTTTTTTCTTAAAATTTTTTCTTAGTTGCCTAAAAAGGAAATTTTTAGGAAATCTGATGTGTTTGAGAAAGAGTTTTTTTTCGTTTATTTAAATTTTACTTGATAAAGCAAAAGTTTTATTTAAAGAGATTTTAACAATTCAAAATATTTATTTTTCTATAGAGAATTAATTGATATCTTATATTTTGTAATAAGTAAAAATAGATTTTTTTTATAATGAAAAATTTTTGCTTATTGTTTTTTCATATATTGTTTATGTCATTATCAAAAAGAAAATTTTTTATAAATTGAAGTATTATAAAAAAAACTTTTTTTTTTATAAATATTATTATAATATAAATTTTATTTTTATATATTATTAAAAAATTTTTATTTGAATATTTTAAAATTTTTAAAAAATAAATTATAATATATTTTTATTAATTTTTCAAGCAAATTTATTTAAAAATACTATAGATTAAGAAATAGAATTTCTAATAATACTTTAAATCTAAATATAAAAAATGTTTTTATTTGTTTTTTCTTTTTCAAATTATTGATTAAAACTATTGCTGATTTAGATTTTTTTTAAATAGGCTATAACTAAAATTTCATTATTTAATAATCATTTTTTGAACTATATTTTCTTTTTTCAAAAGAATATATTTTGATAATTAAGGTTTCTTGAAAAAGAGAAACTTTTTAAAAAAGCAATTTTTATAAAAGATGTTGTATATAAAAAAATTTTAATTTTATTCAATAAGCAAATAATATATATTTTTATAAATGAGATTTAGAAATTAACAAATAAGCTGAATTAATACAATATATTTATTTATTATATTTTTAATAATTCAATAAATTTAATAAATATATAATTTTATGAAAATTTAAAAATCCTCAATTTAAATAATTTTTTTATGTAATATCAAAGGTTTCAACATTTTTAAAAAAAATAATTTTTTTATCGAACCAATAATATTTGAATAGCAATTTTAATCATATGATAAATTCTTTTTGAGATTTTTCGTTCATTTTTCTAGTCATGGTATGATTCATTTCCTAGATCAAATTTTAAAAAGTAAATTTAACATTTATACTCACAATAATGAACGATAGCCACAAAACGAATATATTGAAGAGTCAATAAAGCGGCATGGACGACGTTTGGATTATGAAGAGCGCAAGTAAGAAATAGTATTTTTTTCATTTATTTATTTGGACGTGCAAAGATGGTTTTTTTAACAAATACTATATTAAAGACGGAAGCGACTTGCCCGTAAAGTGCATGACTCTTCCGCGTTCGCCCGCAAGGTTCATGGATTACGTGCAAAATTGTATAATAGAAAGCGTCATGCCGAAAAGATACAAATGAAGAAGATGTAAGGATTTTTATTGTAGTCAAAGGATATTACATTTCCTGTTATTAAATTTATTCGTACATTGAAATTAAAAGGATCAAACAAAACCAGGAGAGTTCGGCAAAACAGAAGGATACACAGGCAGTTCCCGAAGGAGCCCTTCCTACTTATCTATTAGATCGTGAAGGGCAGCAGAGGGCTAAAATATTGTCAAATATGGTGAAGCAGAAGCGTAAGGAAAAGGCAGGGAAATGGACTGTTCCGTTACCCAAAGTACGTGGCATCGCAGAAGACGAAATGTTTAAAGTTGTTAAAACCGGAAAAAATCGAAGTAAGTTTTTTTGATAATGGGAATCATTAATTTCAGGCTTTTAACACTATACGTATACTTTAGCGAAACAATGGAAGCGTATGGTTACAAAAGCGACATTTGTGGGTGATGGGTTTACTCGTAAGCCACCAAAATATGAAAGGTTTATCAGACCGATGGCTTTACGATACAAAAAAGCGCATGTTACGCATCCGGAGTTGGGAGCCACATTTTATTTGCCAATTATTGGTGTTAAGAAAAATCCCCAAAGTCCTCTCTACACACAATTGGGAGTAATGACCAAAGGCACTGTCATAGAGGTTAGTCGTTAAATGTAATAATCATTATTATTATTTTCGTTGTTAATATGCATATTGGATTAGGTTAATGTCTCCGAGCTTGGACTTGTTACAACTTCAGGAAAAGTTGTATGGGGTAAATATGCACAAGGTATGAGTAATAAGACTCATCAATGCTAGATCTTATTGAGCAACACTAATTTATTATTCTTAGTGACGAATAATCCCGAAAATGACGGATGCATTAATGCGTTACTGCTTGTCTGATGTACGAAATGGCAGACTATAATTAGTAACATCTCGGTCCTTCTAGGTTATAGTAGTCATTAGAAGCATTATTTGACTAAAAAATATAACGCTGATTCAAATATAAAATAATAATAATAATTTTGTTTATATTATTACAAGTTTTTACGAAATACTTATAAAAATTATCAAATAAATTGGTCTAAATTATTGTCCGAAGCAGAGCGAAGGACATTCTATGTTTAGATCCTTGGTAAAAATATAGGTCACGTGTGGATTCTGTCCGTCCGCATGTGTAACACATTATTATTTTTTTTTTAAATAAACTTATTAGCTTCGGACTTACATTTTAACCAAGAGATGCACGCAATTTGATAGCGAATCTACAAAACAAAAGTAAACGAAAAGCATCTGAAGCTTTCTCTCATCTAAGAAATTTTAGTGAAAAGTGCAAAACTTGAGAAATAAATCGAGAAAATAAATAAATTAACTCTTCGAAGTTTCATGTAATCTACATTTGCATTGACACTACTAAATTTTAGCAATCCTTTAACGTGTATATATTAGAAATTTTATTTTATTTTTTCACCATATTAAATACATCGATCGGTCTCTAAGCTTTTTATATCAAAAATAAATAATTAAAAAAGCTAATCACGTTACTTTCTCACGATCAAAACCTATGACAAAAAATTTAGAAAAGTTAATAACATGTGTTATTAAGCAAGCTTAAGACAAATTTAGTTTCTCAAGTCAAATAGGAACCAGCTCAAACCAAAACCTAAAGCCTTGTATGAAGCCTCTCATGAAATCGCAACAGGGACCCCAGATTCTGCTAATACAACTTACAGCCATTGTAATACGTATAGTAGGATATCACCGCGTCAATCAGAGATCCCCCCTTTGCCATAGCTTAAACACATAGAACTTTGAATAGTATACTATCTCGGTCTATCCAATTTAGCTCAACCTATTCTCAGTAATCTGTAATCTATGCATAATAAGAATGGCGAAGGATACTGGAGATACAACGTTCTACAGTGTCCTACACGTATACTGTGGGTGATAGGAAGATAGCTTACTACCGTTGTTCCCTCGAATACAGTTACACGACTCGGAAATGGGAGTCTCAGGTTCCCAGTTCGGCAACAAAAATAGATAGTCAAAATCTTGATTCGACCTGCCTTCTTTATTACCTATTAACTTGAAAAACAGTATCATTAAACTTACACTTGCTTGTTTCTCTCGTGCTCTTGTAGATTTCGTCAACTTGCTACAGAGTTATAAAGACCTCATATACCCATCGCGTGTTATTAGAAAGTTAAGGTTGTAAAGTATTAAAGAAAAGTTGCGAGGTATTTAAGGAAGTTTTTGAAGTTTTTAAGAAAGTTGCGAAGTATTTAAGAAAAAGAGTGAAAAATTTTTTACGAACCAAAGCGTTTATATATCTAAAAGTTCTCATGAAAAAAATTCCCATGATATCTATTGATCACATAGATCGTGCATAAAATCTAAATATGGAAGGAACGCGTTATAATCTGAAATAATACGCGTGGTTAAAATTATGTCATTTTCTTGGATTCTGTCCGTCCGCACGTATAACACATAATAATTATTTTTTTTAATTAATTAACATTAATTAATAAAAAAATAAATAATAAACTTTATTAGCTTCGGACTTACAATGGTTTCCATTTCCTAGTATTAGTTTTTAGAAAGAATAAATTATTGAGGTATTTTTATATCTTGTTATAATTTAGGAAAATCTTTATACAGTGATAACATGCTTTAACGTAGTTAAAACTATTAAATTTATAATTATTGTCCAAATTATATATCTAATTTTGATGTTATATAAATTTCGATATAAATAGATTCTCGAATCTAATAGTGATAAAAAACACATCAAATGAACCGTTATCAGGGAGAATTTGGGGATGCACTACCAAGTGTTTTTCTCAAGGAGTCAGAGGAGAGTTTTATTCCAGAAGATTCGTCGATAAGTCAAGAAGATGCTTCTTTCATAGAAGAGACTTTATTATTCGATAATTTCGAAGAAAACGAAGTCATTTTATCTGACACCGAAAAATGGGAAATGGTACGCGTTATTTATCTTTCACTAACATAAACACATGGCTTACATATGAAACTTACGAGAATTCGTTGTTACCATGAGGTTGACGCGTGGCTAAAGAAGTTGTACAACGATAAAATGGTTCCGCTTTTTGAAAGGAACTCTTCAACAGCGAGAGCCTTATACAAGCTAGCACTTTTAAATCAACAACAGGATGATATAGCAAGAATAATTCTTCGACAACAAGAAACTCACGCGTATGAATACCGTGTCGAAGGTTTAATTTAATTCTGATAGTGTTACTTCATTACTGTGAATTACGAAATTGAGTCGGATAACTTGATTAATAACGTAGGCTTACGGATGAAAGATATTTTGGACACCATAGGAATTGACAAGGATGATTTGTCCAAAAATGGTGCTCTTGCAGTTGAATTATTGACCTCTTTGGCCACGATTTTGGACTTGGGAAATGTCGAGAGAAGCAGGTAGGTTATTATATTCAAGCTTACCCTTTCTGTAGGATGCCTTGATGTTTAATTGAAACTCTAATGTAATAATTCTTAGTTACCTTTCAGCGATAGCGCAATTGACAATAGATTCATGTAATGTGGAACGTCAGAAACATTTGATTTCACGTGCAATCGAATCCTTGGAAACTCAAACACAAGAAGCTAAATTGAGAAATGAAAAGTTAAACAAGTACATATTTTTTAGATACGACCTAATTTCTTTAGGTTTGAAACGATGAGTCTTATAAGCACTTTTTTAAATGTACAAGACTTTTAATGCGTCTTCGAGACAGACGGGATTCAAAAGAGGAGAAGATGCTTGGAGAATGGAGAGCAAGTACAAATCTGCTTGGTCATAAAGCAAAAGAGTATCATCAGAAATTGAACCGACTGGAGGTATTATATTAATCGGTCATATACTATATATATATATTCTTACTGACAGTGATTTCGTAGAAACAATATGCATTACTGAACGTTGAGGAAGGAGGGTTAAGATATCAAAACTTGAAACAGAAAGAAGAAGATTTAAGAGTTTTGGAGAGACAAGTAAAGATAGAAACGAAAAAATTGCAAACCTATAAAGTTCTGCCACCGGTAAGAACAATGATACTTTTATGCTTTTGAAATTTGAAATTAAATATTTTTTTTGAATTCAGGACATCACCTTGGCTCAATATAAGTTAGATGAAGCTAAACAAATTCTGGTTTGTAACATTGAAGTAATGTTTCTATTTATTTAGTCAATTAATTTTTTTTTTCTTTTTTTATGAACGTTCTTGGAAAAGATTAAGCTACACGAAGATCGAAACGGATTATTTGGTAAAATAGCCGAAAAGTTTCAAAGCGACCTATAAATTATTCGTTTACTTCGAAAAAAATTCGTTCAAACTTATATATGTACTTTGTTGAAGATGTGATGCTTTGTAAAAATAAACCGAGTTCGTAAAATTAAGATTGAATGTTTCACTGCATGACGATATGCAGATTATCGTTATCTCGAAAATTTTTGGGATCGCCAGCTCGCAAAATGTATCTCACGTAAACACCGATGGTTCGACAAAATTTTGTTGGCATTGTCGTGGGAACTGCGATGCAAAAAACCGTTAAGGTTCGAGTGGCAAGGCAGTTTGTTCATCCCAGAGTTCGAAAGGTATTCAAAATTTGTACCATTTTTTCGTTAAGGGCACGTTACTTACAGCCTTGCAATAATCATTTAAACTCTCTGGAAATCAAATAATAGATCATAACAAAGCATAAAAAATTCTTTGCTCACGACGAAAAAGAAAATTGTTCGCTGGGTGACGTGGTTAAGATTGAGGCTTGTAGGCCTTTGAGTAAGATGAAAAGTTTTACGGTTGTGGAGATAATCAGGTGTTTACTTCTTCATTATTCGAATATAACACATCCTTCTTGAGAAATGAATATTGATCCATATTAATTGCGCAGACGGGCGAAGACTTGGGTAGATCCGGACACCAACGAAGTGAAAAGATAATATTTACAAAAATCAAGGTGCCAACAGAAAAACGAATCGATTATTATTTTTTTTGTGCATATTTGTATACATACCAAATTTTAATTGCAAATAGAAAATATTATCTAAAGATACCTCCAGAAAAACTATATACATGTCTTTTGATATTGAAAGAAATTATGAAAGTGTAGGTTTTTTTTTGCTCAACAAAAATACTTTGTCATCGTCTCTGAGTAAAACATTATGTTTTGGACATGTGTATACATATTTCATTTCTTTTATGTGTCCGGACGAAGTTCTCACTCT